CTCTGCAGTGCTGAGATTAAAGGTGTGTGTCCCTACTGCCTAGCTAAAGACAGGGTTTCTTAATTTTGTTCTTTCTCAGTGCAGTACACACTCTACCACTGGCCTGGTACCCCTTCCCAACCCCTGCCTCTTTGTTTTTGTTTTTTTATTGTTCTTAATGATGAATTATTTTGTGTTATTGTTTTGAGACAAAACCTTAGGCAGTCCTTCAACTTGTGGTTCTCCAGCCTAGCCTTGTCCTCCCTCAATGGCTGATTATAGGCCTGTGTGCAAGGCCCAGCAGGGACAGGTCTATAAATTCCCTAGGCAAGGTCTCTTTTTACATTTAAAAAAAAAAAAACAGGATGGATGGATGGATGGATACATAAACTAATTTTGTGTACATATGAGAGTTGGAGAGCAAGAGAAAGAGAAAGGGCACACATACAGAGAAAGGGCACACATACAGGGGTCAGAGATAACTTTCTGAAGTTGGTTCCTGACTTCCATTTATTGAGTCAGGGGCTCTCTTGTTTTCTGCTGCTACACTATTTACTCCACACTAGCTGGCCCTAAGCTTCTGGCCCATTCCTCCATCCCCACCCCCATCCTGCTGTAGGATCACTGCAATTATATACTTTCATTACTGCATCTGGCTTTCCACATAGGTTCCAGAGGTCAGATGTGGGTGATCAGGCTTACATAGCAAATGCTTTAACCTATGCCATCTTCCCACCCCATCTTGTTTTGCTTTTTAACATCTGTATTATTTAACTTTATGTAAATGAATGTTTTGTCTGTGTAGTATATGGACGCAATGCCCACAGAGGCCAGAAGAGGGTATCAGGTTCTCTGGAACTAGGTTACAGATAGTTGTGAGCTGCCAGGTAGGACCTGAGAATCAAACCCCAGATCCTCTGCAAAAACAGTCCCTCTATGTTTGTTTGTTTTCTTCTTCTCACTATATAGAACAGGCAAGCCATGTACTTAAGCAAATTTCCTGTCTCTGTCTCCTAAATGCTGGGATTACAGGCCTGTACCATCATACCTGGGTCACATTAAAATTCTTGTCAGACCAGGCAGAGGTGGCGCACGCCTTTAATACCAGCACTCGGAAAGCAGAGGCAGGCAGATCTCTGTGAATTCGAGGCCAGCATAGTCTACAGAGCCAATTCTAGGATGGCCAGGGCTATTACACAGAGAACCCCTGTTTGAAAAAAAAAGAAAAAAATTTTTCTTGTCAGAAACAAAATAACATAATTAACAGAAAACTGACTGGAAAAAAACATAAGTGATTTTAAGATTTATTTATAACCATGAGGTGGTGGCTCACGCCTTTAATCCCAGCTCTTGCAAGGCAGAGACAGGTGGTGGATCTCAGGGAGCTGGAGGCCAGCCTGGTCTACCAAGCAAGTTCCAGGACAGCCAGGACTGTTACACAAAGAAATCCTGTATCAAAAAACAAAACAAAATTATTTATTATGTATACAGTGTTCTGCCTGCATGTATGCCTGCGGGCCAGAAGAGGGCGACAGATCTCATTACAGATGGTTATGAGCATCATGTGGTTGCTGGGAACTGGAAGGACAGACAGTGCTCTTAAAGACTAAGCCATCTCTCCAGCCTGCAAATTTTATTTCTAAGTTCTCCTGCATAAATGGGTTAAACCTATGCAAGATTATCTTGTTTTTAGCTGTCACTCTTAAATGTAAGGTTTCAATACAACTAGAAGTAGAATTAACACAACTATACAGGTAACATAGGTACTATTATATCTGCATCCACAGTGGAAAAACTCAGGTAACAACTAGGCACAGGTCTGTAATCATAGTTACTGGGTTAGTAACAAGTTCAAGGCCTGCCTGGACTATTGAGTGAGACCAAGATCAGCTAGAAACAAACTTGGTGATCCTGTCTCCTAGGTTCAATCCCCAGTACCCAGCACCTTAAGTAATATGACAGTGACCATGTTAGTAATGACCAAGCCAGGAGTGCAATTTGCTGAAGAAAACTGAACAAGGGTCTGTCCTTTTCATTTAAGGTGCACTCTTGGGTGACTGTCTAAATTCCCAAACTTTTAATCCAGCTCCAATCTTTCTTCTTGCTTCCAAGACTTAGTTTTCAACTTCAAGTTCTTTATCATAAATACATTCAAAACCAAACTAATTGCATTTCCCGTGTTTGTCCTTTTCTCCTTTTTGTCCCTTAGTTACCACCTACCCAGCCACAGAAGGTGGCACCCTGGATTCCACTCTTGCCACCACCATCCTATCGGCCTGCGTTCCTCTTCATCCCTGCTATGCCCCCATCCAGACCTCAGCACCACTCACCTAGGACGTCAGTCACCCAATCATCGTCCCCAGTTCTTCCCTCCATCTTCCATTTCCTACCACACTGACAAAATCATCTGTCTAGATGCACATATTTGGCTTTGAACATATGGCAGTCATACCATTTCATCCCCTCAAGATGTAAAACAACACTTACACGTATGAAACATGTAAGATACCACTCCGCGCTGATGGCTTCCTTATTGCCCCAAAGAGAAAGTTTATCTCTTAAGTTTTATAAAAACAACTCTAATTTGCCACTTGGGCCTTATCTTCTGTCAGTAACCCTGTATCTTATATTTCTAGATGCATATAATTTCTTGCCCCAAATAATTAATGCTTAAGAGGTGGGGATAGAATGAAAGACTTTGCATGTATGAGGTATTACAACTACAATGCATCACCAGGCCAATATTTTGCCCTCCATTAGTGCATAGTCTCTCAATCAAAAACGATGCATCCAGGAAACTTTATTCATCAAGAACCAGTTCAAATATCAGCAACTCAAATACCACTCATTCTGTGAAATCCTTCTCATTTCCCAAGGCAGATTTCTTTATTCTTTCCTTGGTGCGCTAAAGCATTTTGTAACTATCTTCATGATATAGTACTTTTCAAAATGATTGTTTCTTATATATCTTTGCTATCTCTCAACATAATCCACAGTTTACAGTAGGCCTTCAAGAAATGTTGACAAGTAACTCGACTGTATTGCTTACCTTATTGTGAGCATCTGTATGCCGGATGACATTCCTCAGGAGGACTTTCCCCAGTGGAACCCGTGACATTCTTTAATCTGAAATGAATCAATAATATGCAATAAATTTGTTTTTATTACATTATAAAGAGACAAAAGGAAAAAAAATCACTGAACTTAGAAGACACAGAAGCTAAGGGCAGATTTTCCTTTCCCCGTTAAGATGCACGATACAGTGATTCTAGTAAGGGTGACAGAGGATAACGTAAAGTCTTTAAAACTGCAGAAGGCTGCTCAAAACAGCTTCTATGAGCACCATCTTATTTAGTCCTCACAATTCTCTGTTTTCAGAGTCACGGAGTCTCCCAAGATCCACGGGGGATTGGGTCTAGGGTCCCTGAAGTAACAAAGTCCAACTGTGGGCTGGGGATATAGTTCAATGGTAGAGCATTTGCCTAGCACAAGAGGCACCCTGGATGCATCCCCCAGTGACATATACATGCACACATACAAAATATCCCTAGGGTGCTTAGCTCTCATTTAGAATAGTATAATGTTTGCATATAAACTACACTCCCCTATGTTTTAACTTGTGACTTTGTAACTAGCCTCAGCTAGCCTTGATCGTCCTGATCCTCCACCTCCCAACAGAGAGAACAGGCATGCACTTCCACACTTAGGGTGGGTGGGGTATCCAAATTCCTTATAACACCTAAAACTGTGCAAATCTTCTGTGAATGTTACTATGCACAGTAGAAACAATGGCAAAGGGGACAAAGGTCTGTACATGATAAGTACAGATGCAGTCCGAGTCCCCATTTTCAGTTGGCTGTTGTTTGAATCTATGGGGAACCCCGAGTTTGGACTATATTCCCACTCCTATTTTGAAAATCAAGATTCTTAAAGCCGTAACTCGCCCGCAGTCCGAACAGACCCAGACAAAGGAGGTATGTCAGTGTCCAGGCTAGAAATCAAATCTCAAACTCCCTAAAATTAGCTTGCAGCTATGTAAACATCTAGATTTGTGGGTCACCACATTTGTCAACAGTAATAAAAACTACGTTAAAAAAAATGAATGTCCTAAATATCTCTATTTAGGAAATTTTGTTTCCTACATCGTTTGGAACTTTCCAAAACCCAGAAGACAACGATATTCACATGTGTAGCTACGAGGGGCTTGGTGCCACCGTCCCGATGCTCACTCACCCCTCGATCCTGAGGAAATCAGGCATCTTGCTAGTGTGAGACGAAGAACCACTCCATTACAAGATCTCCTCCGACCCAGGAAGCCAAGGAGTCAGGGCTGAAAGGCAGCTCTGCAGCTTCACCCGAGTCCTTCGTGAAAACGCAGCCTTCCCACCGGTTACAGTGCCCTCACCCGAGGCCCAGGCTACGGCTGCCTTCCCCCAGCCGAGCCCGCCAGGCGGCTCTCTCTGCGGGACCCAGGCCAGAGCGGGCACGGGCGCAGGCGCGGAACGCGGCCTGCCGGCGGAGCCGGGCATTCCCCGCTCTCGCTGGGCTGGGACAGCGCCCGGCGGCTCGGTTTCACTCCCGGGACAGAACGGAGACACGGGGCATGGACGTGGCCTTCCGTTGGGACCCGGGAACTGTCTAGGGTGCCTGAGGGGGAGCTTGAGGTTTCCAAGGGGAGGTCGGAAAAAACACCCCCATGTCTGTCAGCGGGCTCCCTGCCCCGCCGCGGCCTCGGCGCTCCCGGCAGCCTTCCCTCGAAACGCCCTCCCCACACAAACACACACAAACACACCCATACCGTGCGCCGCAGCCTCGCGTGGCGGGGTGGGAGAAAAGGCGGCGGCTTCCTTCCGGGCCGGAAGTCGTGCTCCCGAGAAACGCTTCCTTCCCACGGGCTACTCCCACTGAGCGGGCTCGCGGGCCGCCGGGGAGGCTGACAGGTTCAGGAAGGAAGCCGGCTCTCTTCTGAGAGGGAAGCGGGACGGCCCGGCCGAGGAGCCTGGCCGGCACTGGAGGAAAGGTCCCGGAACTGAATATAGAGACACAGCTCTACTTTGCGTTCCCCGGACGCAGTTAGATGTTGTACCGGACCTGGTTACCATGGTAACGGGAGTCGCGGTTTGTCTCCAAACGGAGTGAAGAGGTGGGTTCCCCCACGTTTGAATTAACTGTGTATTCATTGTTTATTGAATCTAACCTTAATACATGATTTGAAGACTCTAAACCTCTTTTTAAAATTTTTCTGGACCGTCTGGGACACTTCTCCGTTGCGGGAGGAAGAAGATGATGCGATCTTAGAGTACTACTCTCACATAGTATTTATCCAGTGTTCCAGCTTTAGGATTAGCGTTCTTAATCCTCATCTTCATTTTGAGAAGAATAGGTGTGTGTGTGCGTGTGTGTGCACATTATTTGCTCAAGGCCGCATAGCTGCCTGGAGTTAGGAAGAACTTAAGCATATTGGCTCCAGTGTCCCTACCTCCTCCACCCCCAACCCCCGGTTTTTTGAGGTAGGATCTCAATATGTAACCCTGGCTGTCCTGGAACTCGCTCTGTAGACCAGGCTGGCCTCGAACTCACAGAGATCCACCTGCCACTTCCTCCTAAGTGCTGACATTAAAGGTACACATCACCAATGCCCTGCTCAGTGTTCTAGTTTTAATTACTCTATTAAGGATTAGTGTGACTTTACGTGTTTCTTTCTTTCTCTTCCAACTCCCCTGTCTCTGTCTCTGTCTCTCTGTCTCTCTGTCTCTGTCTCTCTCTCTCTCTCTCTCTCTCTCTCTCTCTCTCACACACACACACACACACACACACAATATCTGGACTGGGAGGCACCAAGTAAGCTAATATCCACTTGGAACAAGATCACCAGGAAAAACAATACTTCAAAAGACCTCTCTGCTCCCTCTGTGTTTGTGTTGACCAGAGAGAGGCACAGGTACAATGTGAGAATTTAGGAAGTGGTTAGACTTACAGACTGTAGAAGAACCAGAACCGAAGGAAAGCAGAGTGGGTGGGTGTGCAATCTTTTACACACAGGAAGTAAGGACAGTTGAGAACGTCCCCGAAACAATTCCAAAAGCCTTCCTCCTTCCCTGAAAGAGGAAGTAAAGCCATAGCCACAGTCATCTCGTGTCTTCCCACAGGTTCTAGAGCCTATCTCATCTCCAGTCATGAGGGCATCCTCAAAGGGACTTCTCACCCAGATTTCTCAGTTCTGGAATATGCTGGATGATTTGGCTGAAAATGATCCTGAGCGCTACAGGAACTTCATCGAGCAGGAGCTGAAGGACGGAAAACAGCTGTGTGTCGACCCAGAACCACAGCTCTGCCTACAAACCAAGATCCTAGTATGTACGGCTGGTGTGACGAGTGATGGGTGTCCAATGAAACCACTCCAGGATAACCAGACGATACCTCAGCCTTCCCTAGTGCTACTTTAACACAAGAGAAGTTTAGGAAAATCACCTCTCCAAGCAGAAAATGAAACAGTGTGGAAGAGTTCACTGAAGGAGTAAAAATGAGAAATTCACACTAGGTATTTCAGAAATAGCCAAATGAGACCTTATTGCCCTGTTAGGCAGAAAATGGTGATATAATGAATTAATTTTTAAAAAATATTTTATTACATTTTATATGTGTATAGATTCAAGATAGTGCATGTGCAAGGACCATTGCCTAGCAATGGGAAGGCCTGAAAAAAATATGATGACTTGCATTCAGGATGTTACCAATTTTCATTTTTTTCTTTTTTTTTTTCTTGGTTTTTCAAGGCAGGGTTTCTCTGTAATTTTGGAGCCTGTCCTGGAACTTGCTCTTGTAGACCAGGCTGGCCTCAAACTCATAGAGATCGTCTGCCTCTGCCTCCCGAGTGCTGGGATTAAAGGCGTGCACAACCACCGCCAGGCCAAATTTCGTTTTTAAAAAACTGACAATATCAAAATTATTCATTTTCTAGAAACCAAAAGAAAAAGTACTCTTTATCAACCTGTGTCAATGGAAAAGGATCCCGGCTCCCCAGTCAGCCAATCATCCTGTGTCTATAAGTGTTGGCAGACCAGAGGATTTCTCTGAGGCATCAGGTATACAGAATTAGAGAAAGCATATGTGGATTTTTTTTATTGAACATATTCATAGACCACCTTCTACTTGGCAAAAACATTTTAAGTAAAACATTTCATTTGGTGTTAATATAAATAATGATAAATTAGGGGGCTGGAGAGATGGCTCAGTGGTTAAGAGCATTGCCTGCTCTTCCAAAGGTCCTGAGTTCAATTCCCAGCAACCACATGGTGGCTCACAACCATCTGTAATGAGGTCTGGTGCCCTCTTCTAGCGATCAGGCATACACGCACGAAGGATATTGTATACAAAATAAATAAATAAATAAATATTTAAAAAAATAATGATAAATTAGTATGATTTATGTACATTTAATATGATTTCTGATAATATGATGTTTTCACCCCACATAGAAATGCCAACATAGAATAGGGACTTAGGGTATATTATATGTTAGAACAGGGGCTGGCATTTATAGGGCAGATCCTACAGTCTGAATCTGGCCATGCCTCCCTGCATCTTTCTCTGAGACAGAGTTAAGAATCAGTCTGTGGGGGCTGGAGAGACTGCTCAGTGGTTAAGGGCACCAACTGCACTTCCAGAGATCGTCATTTCAATTCCCAGAACCTACATGGAAGCTCACAACTGTCTGTAACTCCAGTTCCAGGGGATCTGACATGCTCACACAGACATATATGCAGGCAAAACACCAATGCACATAAAATAAAAAGAATCAGTCTGTGCTGTAACTTGGCAACTTTCAATTCATGCTTACCTGGCTGTTTCATGATGTCATGTACACTATACTGAAGTAAATTATTTTTTTAAAGATGTTATTTGTTTACTTATTATGTATACTGTATTCTGTCTGCATGTATGCCTGCAGGCCAGAAGAGAGCACCAGATCTCATTATAGATGGTTGTGAGCCACCATATTGTTGCTGGGAATTGAAATGACATTTCTGGAAAAGCAGTCAGTGCTCTTAACCTCTGAGCCACCTCTCCAACCCTGAAGTAATTATGTGATGTAAAACTTACTTAATAGATTTTCTGCTCCCACCCCATAATAGGTTTCTCCACCAACACAGTAAGCCAAATCAAGCTGAACTGAAAAAGTATAACAAGTTTATTTGAGCAAAGCAACTCCCAGGCAGATTCTCCCATCTCAGAGATCAAGGCCAGAGAAGCCATACCCACAAACAAAAGCAGGGAGACTTTATAGATTGTAGGCGTGGGGTGATAAGGTGTCTGCCACAAGCTGAATTTGTGCCCAAGTATAGTCAAAAGCTGAGTGTTTGGGCTGGGACGTGGGTACTGCCAGCTTCAGGGAAGGAGGCTGTATTACCCATCAAGAATGCCAAACTGGGCTTTTTGGCACTTTTTCTTTGTTCAGAGACTCTCTGAGTGGGTGGGGAATTAGAGAAAAAAAAAGAGACAAGAATAGGGCTTCCAGGATCATGCAAGGGTGAGCTGGAGCTTCCAACTGAACATTACTGTCATTCCTAAAATGTTATCAACTTTTTCTTTTGTGTTTTGGATTGGTCCTCAAGGGGATTTGCTCATGGAAGTGCCTAGCAGCTGCTCTTTGAAGAACCCCTTATCCTGTCCCCACCTCTCTGATGGTAGCTAGCCTTCTCTCCCACATTACTTTTCATTCTTATTCTAAGACGCTCCTCTCTAAGCCTTAAGGGAAGCCAGTAGTTCCCGTAAGGCCCCATCGTGCTTAGATCTCCATCTATTGCATTATTCTTGTTTGAGGCTTCTCCTCTCATCTCACTTCAAAGCCCTGTCTCCTAATAAACTGTATCTCTTCTGCAGGTACTTTTGTGTCAGCTTCCTTTCTGCAGCAGCCACTGCTGGCTTAACACAATGCTGCTGTGATTGCTCTAAAAATCTCTAGGGATTTGTAGTTTCTAACTTTACTAATATGGGTAGTACACTGCCTGACAAAAACTCTTAAAGAAACAAACTCTCTTCTGAACGACACACAGGTTCATATACAGTCATTGATGTTGCCTACAATCCTGATGTTCTGCAAGCAGCAGAAAAAGACCAAGGGATCAAAGATCAGTTAATAAAAATGGCCATGCATTGCATTGAGGAGCGACTCCAGTTCACACTTGCACGTTCATACCGTGTCACTAGTTTTAGCATAAAAGGAAACATTCAGAGAACCAAGGAAAATCTGACGGGCATTAAAACTGACTTCACAGGCTTCAAAGAGATAATGAGAACAGGTAAGTGGACAAAAATAAACTGATGTCTGCTGTGGAATAATTCTCTTGTATCCTGTAAAGATTTGTCGCCCAAATTAGTTTAATAAAATGCTAATTAGCCAGTAGCCAGGCAGGAAGTATAGGCTAGGTGACCAAACTAAGGATGATGGGAAAGAGAAGGGGGAGTGAGGAGTCGCCAGCCAAATGCAGAGGGAGCAGGAGATGAACGTGCCATGCTAATAAAGTTACCACCACATGGCAGTGCATATATAAGGAATGTGGGTTAATTTAAGTGTAAGAGTTAGCTAGTAATAAGCCTGAGCTATCTGCTGCCCATTTTATAACTCATGTAAACCTCTGTGTTTATTTGGAAACAGGCAGTTGGGACAGATGTCAGATTTTGCTTTTGTAACCCGTGTATATTTTTCAAAGCAGAAGTCTCTATCTTAAAAGAATAAGAAAGTTAAAGAGAGAAAAATACATTATTAGAAACATCAGAGTATCCAGAATGATGTAAAAATCTTGTAGAATTCCAAGCAAATTTATTTGGCTTGACGTTCTGGGTATTTTGGGCCTGTTTAGCTGTGCCAGAACCTAATCCAGGTGAGCCTCACATGCTAGGCGACTTCCACTGAGCCGCATGCCCAGCTCTGCTTCAGGTGTGTTAGAACTAAATCCAAACAAATTTAATCGAAGCTTTATCAACCATCTCTGTAAACACCACCTATGCTCATGCTCACAACCTGATGGTATTTTGTATCTCCCCTCCTTTTTTTTCCATAAAGAAAATACTCTTGAAATGATGAGAGGCAGTACTGTGAGTGAACCAAATCACCTTCCTCAGGTGCTACTGAACAAAAAACAAGCATCAGGCAAAGGACGGTGTCTCATAGAGGAGATTTCTAGTTCAGAAATCCAGGTGGAGGTTAAGAAACCAGCCTATGAATTAAAGATTGTGAAGGATCAGAATGAGAAACCTCTGAAAATTGAACTAAAAATCGAGTTACCTGGGATTGACTCAGTCTCCCTCTGTGAGCTTAGTGTTTCTGAGGTAAGTTAAACCGACACTGTGGTGGTCCTGTGGCATCTCTAGGGGGTTGCCTACAGAACTCACGCAGATAAGATGCACTGATGACCAGTTCTTTATTGTTTGCAACTAAGATTTGCACCTCCTCCATGTACTTGAAGTTACTTATACTATTGAATGCTAGTGCTATGGAAATTTTACTGTGCATCAACTTTGTATAACTATAACAAACACATGAGATAACTTTAAGGGGAAAAGATTTGTTAGGGTCATAATCTCAGAGCTTCCATTCTTGTTTAGATAACTGTTTTCAGACCTGTGTCCGAAATATCAAGCCCATTGTGACAGGAATATATGACAAAGCAAACCACCCTTCACTCAAGGCCAGGGAGAGATAGGAAAGGTCCAGGGTCCCACAATCCAGTACCCTGAATGACTCAAAGACTTCACTGTAGCACAATTAATAAAAACCCAGAGATAGAAATTGGGGTTCAACCTGAAAGTCAGAAAAGCAAAACAGCCAGCCACTGGCTTTTACCTCAACCTCAGTCCAAAATGGCGATCCTGCCTCCTGGACTCTCAGAGTGAGACTGTGTGTGAGAGCTGTCTCCTCCCATCTTATATTCCTCTCTAGTGCTGGGATTAAAAGTGTTCACCACTACTGCCTGGTTTCTATGGCAAACTAGTGTGCTACTGGGATTAAAGGTGTGTGCCACCACTGCCTTGTCTGTAAGGCTGACCAGTGGGGCTGTCTTACTTTCTGATCTTCAGGCAAGCTTTATTTATTAGGCTACAAATGATATATCGCTATACTTCACACTAAGTGCCACCTTCTAATGGCTCCAGTGCCTCCTAATAGCACTTCTATGCACTCAAATCCAAATATAGTCAGTCATGATGGTGCACACCTTTAAACCCAGCATTTAGGAGGCAGAGGTAGGCTGATCACTGTGATTTTGAGGCCAGCCTGGTCTACATAGTATCCAGGACAGCCAGGGCTGTGTAGAGAGGCCCTGTGCCAAACAAACACATCCAAACCAGGCCAAGTTGTCTGACTCTATCAGTTAGAGAATAATGAGAAAGAAACAGTACACATGTTCAGTGTAGATGCAGTGCTCACTGTAGCCTAACTACTTTTCCAATACAAGGTAGGCTGCATTCACAGATGTAGACTGTTCAGATGGAGGGTCAACTGTACAGTACATTTGTGTCTATGTTATGCTACACTAGGAACAAATTCCTAAGTTTCAGAGCCTTACAGTAATTTTCTCAGGCTGCATGTTAGCTAGGCCTGCTCTGCCCAATTAACTGTACATTCTGAGATAATGCCTTTCTCGTGGTGGGGGAGAAACAGAAACAGTTGCCCAAAGTAATGACCTAAAACTTCCATGTTTATATAGAACTTCTACTTGCACCCCATTGGCCCAAGAACATCATAAAGCAAAGACAGCAGTAGGTCTGGGAATCACACAAAGTGATGTATTTATTGCAGGGATGGATGGGCTTCTCTTACCTTACAGGAGAGGAGCAAACAATTGGGATGTCCTAAAGCCTTGGCAGATCGAGGAAAACAACCCTAATCACAACACAACCTCCCTCCCTCCCTCCCTCCCTCCCTCCCTCCCTCCCTCCTTCCCTTCCTCTCTCCAGTTTTTCAAGACAGGGTTTCTTTGTGTAGTCCTGACTGTTCTGAAACTCACTCTGTAGACCAAGCTGGCCTCGAACTCAGAGATCCACCTGCCTCTGCCTCCCAAATGCTGGGATTAAAGGCATGTAGTATCACTGCCTGGCCTGTGTTCCCCTTTTAAATCAGACTAACAACATGTCAAGACAACTAATCTACTGTGAATCCTATCCACTCTCTGGTGAGAGAACAACTATAGCAAAGTCTCACCTCAGGAATTACCCCCACAGTCTAGTTACGGGAGCAGCAATCCTGAAATCCTAGCAGGCAAATCCTGTGAAAGGCCCAGCAAGGAGGAGGAGGATGTTCTTTAGATCCCTTGAGACGGCCCCTTGACTACCTACCTTCCTACACCATGGCTGGCTAATATACAGCTCTATTTGGGGCAAGTTTTTCCAGTTTCGGCATCCACACTGGGAATATGTATAAAAAGAATATCACAGAATGTCATTCTTGGGTGCTCAGCATCTTTCTGTGGCTTACCTGCTTATGGAATGCTGGGGGCCAGAACGATGCTTTAAGAATTTGAAGGCAGTTCCTTTTAGCCCACTGTAACTGTTTCTTTGATGGCAGTCATTGCTTTGTCCACAATTCTTTCTCAAGACTAGCTTCTCTAAACTTTATCTTTTATTTTTAAATTAAGTTTTAGGCTAATACATAAAATAACATGTTCCATCATGGCACCATCGTGTCTTTAAGCTGAACTGCTGCCATCTTAGTCAAATGTAAGGATTGACTGACATTCACCCTAGCCCACTCAGAGGCTTTTTAACAAATGCCACTTGTCCTTTGTCTCAATCAGCCATTGTAGCTAATGGCAATTTCTTAATTTTATTTTTTCTGAATTCCATTTATTTTTCAGGATTCAAGTCTCATAATCGGGAGGCTGCATATAAACTAGCTATTGTCTGTGCTGACTTCCTCTTTGCAATGCCTTATGAAATGTACCCAGTAAGAATCACATGTTAGGGGCTGGAGAGGTGGCTCAGAGGTTAAGAGTACTGACTGCTCTTCCAGAGGCCCTGAGTTCAATTCCCAGCAACCACATGGTGGGTCACAACCACCTGTAATGAGATCTGGTGCCTGCAGGTAGGCCTGCTGGCCAAACACAATATACATAATAAATAAATAAATAAATCTTTTTTTTTTTAAAAAAGAAGCACATATTAATAATATTCTATTTCTCCCTACTAAAGGCACAAATTAGCAGGATACTTTATTTGCCTTCAAAATTATCAGGCTAGGTTCACTAAGGGCATTATCACTATGAAACATGGATCACTACCCTTCAGATACATTTCCTTGCCATCTGACAGTAAATCCTGAAGACAGCAACACAATGTTCAGACGGCAACCCTCTACTTCCGGTGCTGTTACCAGTTAACATTTGATGTGTCCTGTTAGTAACCAAAGTCTCAAGAATCCGGGCAGCAACTGTTGCAGGTCCTATGGCAGCGTGAGGTCTGGACATGAGTGGACGTAGTGGTTCCCGGGCATAACTCTCAGGGTGCAATTGTCTACTGTCATGATTTTAAAATCTGTTTTTTTAATTTTTAGGTTGATTTATTGATTGAGGTCTCTGAGAAGTACCGATTATACCTGAATCTTCCAGAATCGATTAATACAGAAATGACGACAGCAAAATTTGTCAAAAATAAGTCTGTATTATTCATTACAATGCCACTGGCATAAAAGCAGTGTATTTGGTGTTTTCATTGCTACAGCTCATGTCAGTTATAGGACCTACACTGTGGGCAGGGGTAAAGAATATTTGTTTTTGTTTGTTGTTGTTCGAGACAGGGTCTCACCGTGTAGCCCTAGCTAGTCTCAAACTCATAGAGATCTGCCTGCCTCTGCTTCCTGGTTTTAAAGCATGTGCCACCACACACAGCAATATACAGGGCCTAATACAGTAATATCCATGTCTACCAGCTAGACTTCTGTCTGACCTGGGCTTGTCTGGGCTAGACAGAATATTTGGAGGACAACTGCACACAGGAAAACATATGCATCTCTAAGTGAGAAAAAAAATAACTGACTCAGGCAAGTACATCCTTCTATAGAAATGAAGCAACATTCTCTCTCCTCCTCCTTTTTTGTTTTTCAGAACAGGTCTCTGTGTAACCTTGGCTGTCCTGGGATGCTATCTGTAGACCAGGCTGGCCTCAAACTCACCTAGATCCACCTGCCTCTGCCTCCCCAGTGCATTTTTCATCTTCATTTCTAAGCTGTCAATAAAGTACCATCTACCCAATTTATATGCAAGGACAGCAACAGGCAGGTCAAACTTTATTTATTTTATGTACATGAGTGCTCTATCGACTTTATGCCAGAAGAGGGCATCAGATCCCACTATTGATGATTGTGAGCTGACAAACTCAGGACCACTAGAAGAGCAATTGGTGCTCTTAACCACTGGGCCATCTCTCCAGTTCTGGCAGAGCAAACTTTAAACACCCCTTTGCCCTTTCAAGGTTGAACTCAGGTCTCACAAATGGTGGTCAAGACTCTCCTAACTGAGCCACCTCATAACCATGTAATGTGACATTAAGAAAACACATATAAGCTGGATATGCACACCTCTAAACCCAGCACTGGGGAGGCAGAGGCAAGCAGATCTCTGTAAGTTTGAGGCCAGCTTGGTCTTCAGAGAGTTACAGATCAGCGAGAGCGGCTGTTAGAAAGAGAAACCCGCATGTATGTATGTATATACAGACACACACATATAAATATATATATATATATATATATATATATATATATATAATTTTCTGGAATATGACTTTCACTAGAACTGTACTGGTAAAAGGCTAATATATATTCAGAAATTCTGATATCCTAAAATCAATAGTTAATGAATTAATATCCTCATCCTCCAATACACTTGAAAAGCCTTCATTAACACAGTCATATTTCCTAAAAAATGTCCCTACCTAGGACTGGAGAGATAGCTTGGGGGTTAAGAGCACTGGCTGCTGTTCCAGAGGACCTGGGTTCAGTTCCCTGCACCCTATAACTGCTGATAGCTGTCTTTAACTTGTCACAGAGGACCCATCACCCTCTTCTGGTCTCCAGGGGCACTCACTGTAAGCATGTACTAAACAAGGAATGCAGGCAAAACTTATCAGATAAAAAATAATTCCTAAAAGAATATAGTATCACTCAATTGTTTAGAAAAGAAAAACATGCCCCCACCCAATCACATGACTCTTTACCTTCTTAAAAACATTTCTACATTTATTATTGTGTGTACCTGCATGCACATGCTAAGGCATACATAGGGAGATGAGAGAACTTGCAGTTTGATTTCTCCTATAATGTAATGTGTGTTCCAAGGATCAGGTCCCCAGGTTTCGCCACAAACACCTTATTCACTGAGCCATCTCTCCAGCCCTGAATCTCTACTTTTGCCCCCAACACATAGGTGCTACTTGCTACTATGTGTTTGTACTTACCCTGTGCAAGCTTGACAACCCTACGTTCAACTCCTGTAACTCAAGGAAGGAAACGTTCCCTAAACTGTCCTTTGACCTCCTCATGAACATACACACTAAAAAGCCCAGGATATTAAATTGCTATGCAAACTAATTTCTAAAATATTCTACTTGTGTATTTCAATGAATTTTATGTTAACAAAACCATTCTCCCCCTCCTTTTAGAAATACTGTTCAGGAATGGTATTAATACTGAAATGTAGAAAAGTTTAAATATGAAGGTTTCTCACGTGCATCCCTGTATTTCCCATGCGTATATATGTATACCATGTGCATGTCTGTGCCAGAGGGGGTTTCAGATTCCTTGGAACTGGAGTTAGAGAAGGTTGTGAGCTGCCATGTGGGTGCTGGGAACCGAATCCAGGCCCTCTTAAAATAGCAGCAAGAACTCTTAACCACTGAGCCATCTCTCCAGCTGCTTGCTGAGTCTTTTTCCTGAAAAAGTCAGAGCAGGTTTCCTACAGACGTGGTTTCCTATCTTTTACCGTCAGTGTTTATGATTTCAGTGCATCCTAGGGTTCATGTCTTGGCAAACCATAATTCCTCACTCAGAAACCCCAGATCAGGAGTAAATTATCTAACAGAGCTAGGCCATACTTCCCATCTCCGCAGTAAGTGCCATGCCTCATCAGGGGGTTTTCAGTAACCCCGAGCTACATGTTAAGACTACAGCCTGATGAACCACTCATCCTGCCAGTGACACACTTGAATTTTCACCTGTATTAGGAGCTTTGAATTATGCAGCTGACACGGGACATTAATCATTTAATGTGATATAAACTACAAACAGATCAAAAATTAGTTCAGACACAACTGAAAACATGTTTAAATTTTAAACAATCTTTCTTGATCCAAAGCACTGTTTCTAACTTCTTTCGGTTACTATGCTGGCTGAGTCCAGATTTAGAGTAGTCTTAACTCAGAACATTTTTGTCAGATGACAAACTTTTATTTTTCTTTCAAGGGAACAATAGAGCATTAGCAAAGAATGAGTCATTTTTCAAGTTCACATTTGACTAGATTTGGCTCATGGTAAAGATGGACCCTTGTGATAAGCGTGTTCTTTCTGTACAGTCTTCAGTGCAACCTAGGATGGCTCGGTGCTAAGGAGGAGGCCCCAGCACGGAGCTGGGACAGCGGTACAGCAGCTGACGCTGGTGGGCTATTTGGAGTGTCACTTGTGCACCAAGTGGTAATAAACATTTAGAAACAGGTTCAACACTGAGGAAACACTTCCAATTTCAGAGGATGGCCCCACATATTACATACAAGGATACTGGTCAGGGTTATTTTAAAGTCACAAATAATTCCAAACATTTATTAAAACACATCACTTTAACAGGAAGTCTGGAATTGTGATAACGTTCTTTTTACTATCCTGCATATTGTCTCCCTTTCCTCCAAAAGAAGAGTAAAACATAATAAAACGAAAGGAGCATTTAGGCTGGTAAGGGCGACACCTACTTAAGTTCTTCCCTCCGTGAGCAAGGACTGGGCTGAAAAACCAAACTCTTGACTATATACTACTTTTTTAAAACTTTATCCAACCAGAAATTGTCATGTTGTTTTAGGCATAATTTTTGTTTGTTTTATTGAGATAGAGTCTTGCTATGTTATCCAACTATCCTACTTTCTTAGTGTTCTGAGTAGCCGAGCTACCTAGCCAGATGCCCAGTTTGGACATCACAGTCAGCAGTGCAAACTGCCCACTCACATCCTCTCCCCCACTTCTTTTCAGGCAGGATATGGTGATAAATGGACATTGGCACATATACAACTCTAAAACCATATATTACATATGTACAACTTCTCCCATATACATTCCATACTCATTCCAGAGTTCTCCAGTTGAGCGAAAACATTTGATAATTGGGTTCGTTCATTTACAATTAACATCCAGTTCATCTCAGAAGGAAAATTCTACTTCTGCAACTTGTTCATTTCAATAAGTATGTTCTTTTATTTGGAGGAAACTGCAGATTTCTCAAATTATACATTGAAATTGCTTATAAATAAATACATAAATTCTCATTTATACCAAGAAGTTGGCTTATATCTTTATCTTAAGGAGGGGAAAGCTATTTTATTTAGAGACTCATATAAAAATAACAGTTGGTTGAAAATGCTGACTCTTAAAGTTTCACTTATTTTCCTTGAAGTTCTCATGTGATAAACCAAAATTGTGAAACAGGAAACTCTAAGGTTAGATTCCAAAGTAAAGCTTCAGTTCAAACTCTTCCTATGAGAAATACTTTTTATGACTCTGTTTCCTTCAGACTAAGTGAGTTGAATCAATTAAACTCTAAACTGCAAGGTCTCATCCAAGTTACTGTTATGAGCCCAACTGCAGGGAGCCACAATCCTGCCCCTCCTGTTCCCCCAGGAAGGACTTCTCACTAAGGAGTTAGTGTCCCTTACATGTCCCTTCACTAGGCATACAGAGTTTTAAACTGATGTTTAATTTTAAAGGGGTACAATATTTGAATGTAATTGGCATTTAAAAAAGATTCATTAATGCCTATTACAAATAAATTATCTGGACAGATTCAATAATAAAATTAACTAGTGAAACTTTAAAAGAACCACCTGTTTAATAACATATAAATATAATGTCAGCAGAGAGTGTAGAAGTTCTTGGGTAAATTATAACAGCATAGTTACAGGCTTTTCAAGGTACTTTTTGAACTCAGCAAGCCACTGGGCTCCAACCGCTCCATCCACAACACGATGATCACAGCTGAGAGTGACAGACATCACGCTAGCCACGTCAAAGCTAGAAAGAAAGACCACCAGTGGGTACTCTGAAAGAAAACAATGAACCCGAGACAACAGCCGCCCACATGTTGATGTCTCCCTATAATCCTACCTAGGTAGATTAATTCCCATTCATTCATTCATTCATTCATTCATTCTGAGGTCTCTTATGCTATGCAAGTGCTTTACTACTGAGCTATATCTCCAAGCCTCTTAAACAAACAAATAAATAAACAACTTTTTGTTTATTTGTTTTCTTTTTTTGGTCTTTTTAAGATAGGGTTTCTCTGTGTAACAGAGCCCTGGCTTTCTTGGGACTCGCTCTGTAGACCAGGCCTGCCTCTGCCTCCCAAGTGCTGGTATTAAAGGCATGTGCCACATGCCCACCATCAAGTTCTGAGATAGTTAACAAGGAGGGCCTTGAACTTCCACATAGTTGAGGCA